GCTTTTACGTCCAGTCTATGAGAAAGAAAATAACAAACTAATGTTTTTTTCTTGTTCCCCCCCCCCCCCCCCCCCCCCCCCCCCCCCCCCAAAAAAAATAAAAAGGCTATGGAAAGATTCTCTGAATAACATGAGCAAAGGAGGTAAGAAATACTGACATTCTAACAGATGTGAACATCAAAGAAAATTGGCTTATAAACAGCAGCCGACTTGACTAAATTAAAACGGGCCAACAGGAAGATAGACATCAGGGATTGCTTTGATATGAAATAGTATAAGGCGGGAGAGCTAACGAGAGACCGATATTTTTTGTCCCGGGCAGTCCGTGAGGAGAGCGACATTTTGCAAATGACTTACTACATGATGTTTAATTACCACTTCTCAAAAAAAAAAAAAAAAAAATTTACTGATATTACATCTTCACCATAATGACTGGGCCAATGGATTAACAACTAACAACGGTTTGTCTTTATGCAACTGCAGTCCGTCTGTCTCTGGATGTTATCCACCCATTTGTAACGCTGTTTATCTCTTGCGCACCAATCAGTCTCACATCGGTGGCCTTTACTTCATATGACTTTAGCTGGTACCTATTTTAAGCGGGGTCGAGCTGAAAGACAATGTAACTGTGGAAATATCTGGGTGCCAGAGTTGAAGGGAGTCATCATCATCATCATCAATTTCCACTTGTGTCGTTAAGCGTTTAGGGGAGGAACAGTTTGCGACCCTTTGCTTGAAGTACGGCAATGACTACTGTCATTCCGTTTCGATGTGGAAGATCTTTAATGTAATTAATCCATGTTCTGCAGGTGAACTCCTGCTTTCACTTCGGATCTTTTCATGTGTTACGCCTGCATTGGTAGTTGTTCAGGCTGCATTCTTGCTCAATGACCAAACCATCTGATCTTCTGTTTCTCAATGACTTTGCTGCATGGTGTTGTTTCAACAGTGTGGTAATATTATTTCTGACTTTTGTCTCGTTTGGTTAAGTTGGCGGCTTTTCTCATGCATCTCATTTCACAGTTGTTAATTTTACGTAGGGTAACCTTCAATAATTTTCAAGTCTAGCACTGGCAGCACACTTTTGGTATGAATATGCTGTTTATAATATATTCTTGGGGCTCATACTTATTTTTAGATGTCTAAATACCGTTGTCAATTAATATATATGTGCACTGTCTAGTTGGCATCTTGTTTCAATTTCCCGATCTATTCTTCCGTCGTCAGAGAATATACTTCCCGGAATTTAAATGCTTTAACTTGCTTCAGACACGTACCATTAAACCGGACATGGAGAGGATTAGGAATTCTGCTGACCTACATTGCTTCAGGTTTAATAGTATTTATTTCATTTGACATCTTCTTCATGTTGAACTTAGCCTGTTTAAGTGGTCTTGCAGTCTACTCCCCTCATTGTAGAACAGGCACTGATCGTCTGTAAATAGTAGCCCATGTACTGTGTGTGGATCTAATTCTTTCTCTGGAAAATAAGGTTCCTCATTTTCTTGATTTTCTGGGTAGACTAATTTAAAAAAGGCTTTTTTGATATTCTATCTATGTATATTGTAAATAGAAGAAGAGACAGTTACACATATCTGTATCACCACTGTATCGATAGTAAACATATCAGACATTCGTTTTTCTGTTGTGGGGAGTGTGGTACATGGCCATGATGTTTTCTAGCAACTTTCTTTCAATCCCATGATCCTCAAGAATAGCCCATAATTTGTTTCTATTTACTATTTCAAAAGCTTTATTCTTGATTTGCAAACACAATATTCAGTTCATCTTCATATTCAGTGGGTTTTCTCACAAACTTGTCTCGTGCATACAATGCATCTGCACAACCTTTTACTTTCCTGAAACCAAATTGTGATGTACTTTGTCATAAGTGGCTCAAGAGTAATATACTTTTGTACGATACACAGTCTTGTGCATAAAGTTTCCTTTTCCAAACAGGTACCATCAATGTCTGCAGCCAGTCGAGTGAAGCTTTCCTTTCTCGCCAAGCTCTATGGAAAATGTGTGTTTGTCATTTGAAACCAGTTAGACCGCATGCTTAAATAGCTTCTGTAGTTTTTTTATCTAAGCCAGGTGGTTTGTTTATAGGGGCTCTTCTGAATAACAAGCTTTTACTTCTAATGTTGAAAAGTTTGGTTAATCTTGGTCATCTACTGTTCAGGGTTAAGTAGCTCTTTAAAATAGTGTGCCCATCTTATTAGTCTTTTATGTGGATCACAGTACCTTTTGCAAAGTCACAAATTTCGTCTTGTCCCTGTCCGAAAACATCCGGTAATACGTGCAGAAGGAGAAAATTAACCCTGAGCTTCATGAACTCAGGTGGGCCCACTCTCTGAAAATGTATAGGAGCTATTGGGCCGAAACATTTGTCGACGAGAGATTACTTCTACTGATGATTGGCCTCTCCTGCTGTACATGCTCCCCTGTGGTTTCTTCTTATTCTTGCAGAACTGCCTCTTTTTAAAAAAAATAATGTTGGATGGATTGTAGAATGTATTCTTGCTCTCATATTTTAACCTGATTATAGAATTCTCTAAAGGAACTTCTACTAAGTGGCTATAAGTTCTCCGGTTTCCATGATTCATCTTTAGAAACTGATCTTTCGTTTTGCACCAAGACTGATAATCTTTACGTAACATAATCTTGTTCACATTTTGATTTAATCCGTTTTTCGTATGCTTCTTTCTTCTTCTTCTTTTTTTTTTTTTTTTTTAGAAATGTCTTGGACATCGTTGATAAAAGGAGTACCAAAAGTAAAATAGAAATTAAAAGAAAACTGGGTAAGTAAGGAAACGGACCCCGTCTACCCCAATGGCGAGTGAAGCATGTGATGCTAGACCCATGTATGTGTGTACACTTTATATAACCGATGTTATCAACATCAATCGTGTCACCTATTTTAGGAGGGGTCGACATGGGAGCCAAACTCCCGCTTGATGTGGATTCGACGTTAAGTGGAATATGCATCAGATGTAAAATGTGTGCAGCTAGTAAAACATGTGCTCTAAATGAAATGGGTACCATAGGTAAAATGGGTCTGTCACTACTAATTATTTTTACTTATATATGTAACAAAGAAAATGATTTTCCCTGCTAGTGGTTTCCAGATGATAATGCCACATGCCATAAGACCACAGTTTGGTTTCCATTTAAATGACAACTGGGCAAACCTTTGATCTCTCTACTGCATGTAGAGAGCATTTCTGTAGAACACCTTCGGCGTTCTATGGTGTCTATTTACATGAGCAAAGTTCTGAATATCCTATTTTGAATTTCTTGTATATATGGCTGCAGAGTCCGTTGTGTCCAGTACGCAAACTAAATGTATTTTTCTTGTGACCAGATTGACTGGGTCTTCAGGATTGTGTCCTCCCAAGGAAGTGTTCCAGGGGTTTGATCTGGGAGTTACTTTCCTCAAAATGACATCCTACATCTGGCTGTTCTAAGCCAGTAAACGCGGTTGGGAAAAAATCAAAAGCAAGGTTAACTGCCTAGTCAAACAGCGACGACTGATCAATTGCAAAATAATGCTGCATCTCCAATTGTGTAAGCACACTTGTATTGGTAATCATAGTTTCTGAGTGTTTTGAAATAAAATGATGAGCCTCTTGTTTCCCCTCAGTAGTGAAAAATTAAACAACTGAAAATTTTTTTCCTGTCCTCCATAATGCAGACTGCAAGATTAACATCCCAATGATAAGAATCAAAACAGACACACATCTCGGAAACCTCGTTCAACTTTACAGTACAGTTATACTGGAGTAGCTATTATGAATAACTTCTCTTGGTCGTTACAAAGACGTATGCAAGCGGGAAAAAAAATGAAACAGGTATTGAGGTAAAATTATGGGAACATAATGCTACAGATTGCATTGCATGGAGAGAAAAGATCAGGAGGGGATTAGAGGCAAAAGAGAGGGTGATTACAGATAGTCTAAAAATGTAGCGTTTGAGAAGACAAACGCAACATGCAATGAATGAAATGGTCCCAAATTCTCATGCAGCCACTGTTGAAAACTTTTCTTGTCGCGTGCTGGCCTTGCAAGCCATATTCACCACGGCAATAGGTTGTAGTTTCTACGGCTCCTTAAAGCACAATAGTGTTATCTGGAAAGACGGAAAGGTGTCAACATTGGAGCACCACTAGCAGTTACAAAGTAACCTGAAGTCCAGTGGGGGGAGGGGGGGGGTTGAAACAATATGTGCATAGACATTTTGTTACTGTGGTCAGAACACCTAACATGGTAACGTTATTTTTCTTTTGTAAACAACTGTTTTGCTCAGTAAAACAGATGAGAGGTCGCAGAATTGGGAGTTGGACTGATTGAATGGTTTGCTAATATGGTATGAAGGCTCAGATTTCTTCGACCCATGTTCTTCTTGGTCTCCATCTGCCTTTTGATGGTTTGGTCTATTCATTGGTTCATAGTAACGTAATACAACATAATACAACATAATACAACATTAACCATAACTAAATAGCTCAACGGCGGGCAACAACAAAAAAAAAAAAGCAAACAAATTAAACATTTCGATCAGCATACAACCGAGAAGTTGGGCCCGTCTGGATCTTTCCCACAGTTTATCTTTTTAGCCACAGTTGGCCATGTTTAGTTGTTTTTTCATATGAACTCCACTGCTGTCAGTGCCATGTCTAACATTATCCCACACTTTATAGCGTTTAATTATCAGACCATATAGGTAAGTACATAATCAACAGCAATAAAACAAAAGTGTGGAAACATTCCCACATTTCAGTCTCCACAGCAACAATAAACTATGGTGGCCTTTAGTGATAATTTATGTTTTCGTGACCACAGTAATATCTGAGGTGGCTTTTGTGTCAATGTCTCAGAAATTCAAGTACATGTGAGTATACTGGGGGTAATTACTGACGAAAGGTATTTAAACACCATTGTGTTACACTGGGACATCCAGACTTCAGTTGCCACAAGAGTCAGCGGTTAGCCAAAGTCATCATGCAAATCTTCGTGTTTCTCAGCATTGTCGGTTGGTATTCGCTGATTGTATTCCGTTATATGTGCCCAACCACAGGGTCTACTTAATGCTTGAGAACATTGCGTTGTCACTGTTATTTTTAAAACTGTTCGCTAACACTATTCGGTCAGTATGGTTCAGGTTTAACTTCGCATTGACGAAACAAAGAACTATGGAAGAAGGGAAACTTGACGACGGGAGCATGCACAACAGTAGGCTACCGATCGTCGGTAGCTCCCCCGTCTCCCCCCTCCCATTTTTTTAAACAATTGTTTCTACACGTTTATCCTCTAGGTCATCATGAAGTGGGTTTAGGGGGGAGGGGGGGGGGGGGGGTGTTAGGACATCTTCTGCTGTGCCAATCGGAAAAGACGAGATATGGTAATAGCAACAGGTACAGAGGTAGATTATGGTCATCGCCAATAGTGCATGGTAGAAAATTTACCGCCTACCCGTAGATTGGCAACTAGACCTTTGGTTCATAAAATAAATGTTGATCGGCTAGACTTTATTAGTCCGCACATGGACAGGCCGACGTTACTCGGAACAACTATGATTTTGAACAGTTTTTTTGTCACTAGTCAATCAGACCAATCTACCGAGGCTTATCCCCCACGTCGTTTCCGCTACTCCAGTCGTTTATGTCTATTCAGGTTCTTACTAGCACAGAGCTGAGATTACACCGAGCTTGTGTAGCTTTTACAGCTAACACAGTTATAACTTTTTTGGAGATTGAACAGGTTATCTGGAATTTTTGGAGACTGAACGGGTTATTTGGAATCTGTTAGAGACTAAACCGATTATATGGAATCTGTTGGAGACTGAACGGGTCATATGGCATCTGCCTTGCTGATCTGCTATCAAGATTCAGATATTTTTTTAAATCTTAGACCTATACACTTTCATGTAACAGTTTGGAGGAAACAGGCTGATCGATGATTGATCGATTGATAGATGCCTTTTTGATACGCCGTTTGTTTTTACCCGTTTTCTCGTATTATTTCATCTGATTCATGTGGTACCTTTTGGTGTTGAGGTGGAGTACAAACAGCAGCGGAAGAGAAAATGTTTTTGTTCCTACTTTTTGCCCTATACTAATTTGGAATTCCGTTGTTCCTTCGTTTACCTGGTCGACCTCTCTTTCATTCTACATATCATCCATCGTTTGTGAGGTACTTAGTAAATGTTGACGGACGAGTTAAATCATCAAACTATTCCGCCCGCTGTTTAATTATAAATTCTAGCGGTACTATTAATACCCCTTTCTTCTTGATTTAATCAGATCTTATTTTCACTTTCCTCAATGTGTGGAGTGACCTTCTCAGCAATAATATCTTGCCTGCTTTCACTTCTTTTGAATGTGTATGTCAATGTCTAAATCTAACACAGATAACAATATCTGTTTCCAAACTAGACTAGAAAAATTAACCAAACCACTTAAATGTTGTATTCATTTGGGGCTACTATTTTAGGTCTCTAGAGTATAAATAAACTTTGTTTAAAAAGAGGTACACTGACTGATGCATTTTATTTGTAACAAACAATTTTGCATAGAAACCCAAACAAACAAATAAAGTAAGACGTTCACCAAGTGCTTGTTTTTCAAACTTTGTTCTTTCAAGCCGTGGCTCTGGCCGCCCCAGGACCCGAAAAGCGTATCGTGAACGGTTATCCTGCTGCTCTGTTCGCCCACCCCCACCAGGCTTCCCTCCAGGTGAGGAGTGGTACTAGCTGGTACCACAGCTGTGGAGGTTCCATCATCGCCAGAAACAAGGTAAGGTCTAACAGTTTCTGTCCACACTTAGTATGGGAAACCGTGTATAGATTACCCAGTTCATCAGAAACATCGTTATTTCTTTTTCACTTCCTGTGTCGTGGTTTGGGGGCAGGGGGGGGAGGGGGGGGGGGGGACAGGAACACCATCTATCTATCTATCTATCTATCTATCTATCTATCTATCTATCTATCTATCTATCTATCTATCTATCTATCTATCTATCTATCTATCTATCTATCTATCTATCTATCTATCTATCTATCTATCTATCTATCTATCTATCTATCTATCTATCTATCTATCTATCTATCTATCTATCTATCTATCTATCTATCTATCTATCTATCTATCTATCTATCTATCTATCTATCTATCTATCTATCTATCTATCTATCTATCTATCTATCTATCTATCTATCTATCTATCTATCTATCTATCTATCTATCTATCTATCTATCTATCTATCTATCTATCTATCTATCTATCTATCTATCTATCTATCTATCTATCTATCTATCTATCTATCTATCTATCTATCTATCTATCTATCTATCTATCTATCTATCTATCTATCTATCTATCTATCTATCTATCTATCTATCTATCTACCTACTATCTACCTACCTACCTACCTACCTACCTACCTACCTACCTATCTATCTATCTATCTATCTATCTATCTATCTATCTATCTATCTATCTATCTATCTATCTATCTATCTATCTATCTATCTATCTATCTATCTATCTATCTATCTATCTATCTATCTATCTATCTATCTATCTATCTATCTATCTATCTATCTATCTATCTATCTATCTACCTACCTACCTACCTACCTATCTATCCATCTATCTATCTATCTATCTATCTATCTATCTATCTATCTATCTATCTATCTATCTATCTATCTATCTATCTATCTATCTATCTATCTATCTATCTATCTATCTATCTATCTATCTATCTATCTATCTATCTATCTATCTATCTATCTATCTATCTATCTATATATCTATCTATCTATCTATCTATCTATCTATCTATCTATCTATCTATCTATCTATCTATCTATCTATCTATCTATCTATCTATCTATCTATCTGTCTATCTGTCTATCTGTCTATCTCTATCTATCTGTCTATCTATCTGTCTATCTATCTATCTATCTATCTATCTATCTATCTATCTATCTATCTATCTATCTATCTATCTATCTATCTATCTATCTATCTATCTATCTATCTATCTATCTATCTATCTATCTATCTATCTATCTATCTATCTATCTATCTATCTATCTATCTATCTATCTATCTATCTATCTATCTATCTATCTATCTATCTATCTATTTATCTATCTATCTATCTATCTATCTATCTATCTATCTATCTATCTATCTATCTATCTATCTATCTATCTATCTATCTATCTATCTATCTATCTATCTATCTATCTATCTATCTATCTATCTATCTATCTATCTATCTATCTATCTATCTATCTATCTATCTATCTATCTATCTATCTATCTATCTATCTATCTATCTATCTATCTATCTATCTATCTATCTATCTATCTATCTATCTATCTATCTATCTATCTGTCTATCTCTATCTATCTCTCTCTATGTCTATCTATCTATCTATCTATCTATCTATCTATCTATCTATCTATCTATCTATCTATCTATCTATCTATCTATCTATCTATCTATCTATCTATCTATCTATCTATCTATCTATCTATCTATCTATCTATCTATCTATCTATCTATCTATCTATCTATCTATCTATCTATCTATCTATCTATCTATCTATCTATATCTATCTATCTATCTATCTGTCTGTCTGTCTGTCTGTCTGTCTGTCTGTCTGTCTGTCTGTCTGTCTGTCTGTCTGTCTGTCTGTCTGTCTGTCTGTCTGTCTGTCTATATGTATGTCTGTCTATCTGACAGTCAGTCTGTCTGTCTGTCTGTCTGTCTGTCTGTCTGTCTGTCTGTCTGTCTGTCTGTCTGTCTGTCTGTCTGTCTGTCTGTCTGTCTGTCTGTCTGTCTATCTGTCTGTCTATCTATCTGTCTGTCTATCTATCTGCCTGTCTATCTGTCTGTCTGTCTGTCTGTCTGTCTGTCTGTCTGTCTGTCTGTCTGTCTGTCTGTCTGTCTGTCTGTCTGTCTGTCTGTCTGTCTGTCTGTCTGTCTGTCTGTCTGTCTGTCTGTCTGTCTGTCTGTCTGTCTGTCTGTCTGTCTTCTGTCTGTTTATTATCTATCTTTCAAAATTGATTTTTTTGCTTTTCATCATTGTATACTTGTTATTATTATTTAAATCCTCTTATACTAAGACTGGAACCCAGAGCTGATATTTTCCAGTCATCATCCTGAAACATTAGTTTATCGAATACTGAAATATAAGAAAATACTTGCAGATCTTGACCGCTGCCCACTGTCTGCAAGGTCAGAGCGCTGCCAACCTCCGTGTTGAGGTTGGACTCCTGAACTTGTATGACGCAAACAATGGCTACAAGCAGACTGTTTCAGTGGCGTCTTTTGTCATCCACGCCAGCTACAACGGTAACGGTGCAGGTATCCCTAATGACATTGGCATCATTACCCTGAGTACATCTTTGACTCTCAACTCCAACGTACAGGTTGGTACAAGATGTTCCTTATGCTGTTAACCAAATCTCTGTATCTATCAAATCTTTAGGTTATGTAGTTAGAAACAACCACTGCGGCTCAGTGTAAGGAAGTGGGACGTTTCTCTCTGTCTGTATGTCTGTATGTCTGTCTGTCTGTCTGTCTCTCTCTCTCTCTCTCTCTCTATATATATATATATATATATATATATATATATATATATATATATATATATATATATATATATACATACATACAAAATGCATATATGGTTGTCATATATGGCGGACTTGACAGAGAGATAGAAACCAGAGTACAAAAGGCATTTGCCGCCACCTACCATTTAGCCCTACTGCTTAGACACTCAAATGTTTCCTTTACAGCAAAACAGCAAATAATTAATAGCATCGTTATCCCTACTTTATGTTATCAGTGTCACACATCCACAATGAATATGGCACTAGAACAGAAAATTACATGTGAGATGCTCCGTGACTTACAACACAAGGAGAGACCAGCATTAAAGAGAAAGTTGGAATATGACCATGTCTGGATTATATTAACAGAAAAAGAATGAAATGGTTCAGTCATATAATGAGAATGCAGGCAGACCAAACTGTATATGAAACTTTTTGAAGCATAACTTCTAGGACGAAGGCGAGAGGAAGAACAAGAAAGTGATGGAAAAATTGTGTAGCTGAAACTTGCGAAAAGGTGAAGAAATGCATCACATAAGCCACTCGAGAAGCGCAAGACAAATTTAGAAAACTACGACACTTGGCTGCAACCTGGTGTCAGTATGACAACGAAAGAATAAAAAAAGAAGAACAGATATATGGTTGTTGCTTTCAGTTCCATGTGACTTCAGACATTGTGTGTCAGATAAAGTATGTATGCCAATGTCAGCAGGATGTGCTATAATAAGTTTCTATATAGATGTAAATTTCCAGAGGAAGTCTTGCACATACCAATGGGATTTTATTATTACTATTTATTTTTTCTTAAAGGGAAAGAAAAGCTCTGCTATACAATCTATATGAAGATGGTACTTTAGAACTGAGTTGATAATATACTCTATATAGGAATGTGCATCGTTGTGCATGACATGCCTTTGTATTCAAGTATATCCACTGTTGCGTCAATGGAGGTTCAGCTCTGTGGGTAACAAGAAAGGCACCACGAGTGGATTTACAACTGATTTAACTGTTATCTGATACCGTGAAAGTGTGTCAGTCCATGTTTATGTAAATGTAATCGTTAATAAAATAAATTGTTTGACATTGTTTTAACAGATCGCGACTTTGGCTCCAAGAGGAGCATCTTTCGCCGGAGTCAGGTGCTACATCACCGGATGGGGCCGTACTGTGGGCGGTGGAGCCACTTCCGCACAATTGCTGGAGGCTAGAATCACCAAGATCACCACAGCTGATTGTGCAGCCAGATGGCCAGGTCAGAACATCAACATTAGACACATCTGTGTCTACGAGGCCTCAGGTACGTGCTGACAGACTGGGTCATCCTTTACATAACCTTACAGTTTATAGGAGTTGGCGTCTTGCAACAGTCTTCTTCTTCTTCATCTTATTTTACTTCCCGTTTGCTTTTTGAAAACATTCTCAGAAGTGCTCTTTCTTCGAAACTTTTCATCTCTTGTTGTTGCAATTTAACGCGTTTTGTATGGTGCTGCACCAGTTAAAAAAGAACAAATCAACTTCAATCTTCACAGGGCGCAAAACAAAGTGAAGGAAAAAATGGCGCCAAAGCTATGGTTATGGGCTCGTGGACCAAGACTTTATACGCATTTTGAACCAACATTTGTTACAAAATTGTGTACGTGGTCCGATTTGTTCGTATCAGAAGGCGTTCGTGGTCCTAGTGAGCACTGAACATTCTTTCGCATTGTTTGTTGGATTGCAAAAAAAAAAAAAGACATTTTACACTTCTACCTAATACATCAGTTCACAATCCAGCCGCAAAGAATCTACATTTCATTCGTGTCCCAAAATACCGAGCGAATACTGGTTTAGGAAATAGGATGACTAACTAACTTTATCTTCTATTATTTGTTTTTAACAAGTGCACAGTTTCTTCTTCTTCTTCTTCTCCCCTTCTATCAGTCAATAGGAAAAAGGCCTTCAACAAACTTATGCAAGTTCGTTCTATCCTTCGCTATCGCATGCAGCTTCACGAATGTCCCCATAATCTTTTTACTGTCAATCCAAAGCTCCCGTCTCCATGCTTATTTAGTCGTTTTTAATTTCTAAGCCCTGTTATGTAGTTTTCAGGTTTTTTCAACGTCTGTCCTGTCCCCGAACAGCGTCTTTTCGTCACCTCTTGATCCACTGGAGCTTGTTTTGTTTTCTCTACATTAGTGATTCTGTCACACCATTTAATTTCCTCTATTTTGAGCATTCACGATTAGATGGATGTATTTAGTTTTTTAGTATTAGACTTAATTACACGAGTAATCAGTCTATTGTCAGTAAAATTAGGAGAGGCGACAAGTGACATCCCTGTCACAAACCTTTTTTTTTTTTTTTTTGAAGTGTATCTGTTAGCTTTCACCCATGAAGAAATCGACATTTCATGTCTTCATATAATGCCTTTACCAAGGTAATTTTCTGTAGGATTCCATAGTGCCCAATTAATTTCTTGAGAGAACTATCAATGCTGTCAAAAGCTTGTACATAAACTGAAATGACAATTTTGTGTCCATTTAGCTGCCTCTGGATCTCGTCCCAGTGCCTGCAATGGTGACAGCGGTGGCCCACTGGTCTGCAACGGCTATTTGGCTGGTATCACCTCCTGGGGAGTGTCCAACTGCAGTGGTAATGCTCTTGTTTATGTTTGCATATATTATTGTGAAAGCATATTAGGCTTACATCACTCCTTTATTCGGTTACATAACAAAGAAACAATTATGAAAAATATTCCTTAATGTTTTTTTTTTTTTTTTTTTAAATCAAGATATTGAAACTGAAGAGTCTTTTTCCAGGGTGTAGGCAATTGTATCGGTTTCTTTTTTAAATTTTATTTAAGGAATCATTTTCTGTTCTGCTATAATAGACACTATGTAATGAGCATTGGCAACCTTTTGTTTAAAGAAATTTTAAGTACTTGTAGCTCGGGCTATCTGATGGACCTCAAACAGACATACATCAAGTCCACTACCTTTGACCAAGAGAGGTGAAGAAATGTGGAGGGAGCTGATCACACAGTTAACATAAACTAGTGACCGGGCATTATGCTATATCTGAAATATTGTCTCTGGGGTAACATTCAGTGTCAGTTTTAATTCACTCACCGTCCCCTACAGTTTGGCTTTCACATGTGTTTCTCTTGGCGAGAAGATTTGCTTTGACATGTTGTATTTGTGGCCGCGCTGAATGACGCGGTCTGTTGTCCCTGGTGCCAGTCCACATGGCTGATACGCCAGTCTTAAACAGAATTCAAGAAAAACTTAATGATGTTCAACAGACCAAATGAACCTCCTAGGAGCTTTAAAGTCCTCAAAGCTTTAAACGCAAATCAAAACTGATAAGGTCACGGAAAGCTGCTATTTTAAATGTATTTTCTTAAAAGTATATAAGTGTACAATTTAGTTTGAGCTTATATACCATATTAGGATGGGCTGTCCTGGGAAAGTAAAGACAGCCGGCGTAATGCTGACCACATTACCCACAGAGTGTTGATGGTCTGTAAAAAATATGAGACGCTCTGCCATATGCCCGATGCGCCGAAAGGCGTGAAAAGGGATCTTTACTTTACTTTCTTTTATATACCATATTAACAAATATATGAACTATGTCTGCAGGCAACTACCCAAGTGTGTACGTTCGTGTGTCGGAGTACCTTGACTGGATCGCAGCGAGAGTCTAAACACGCTAAGAAGGTCCTAGTAAACGTGCAGAACAACAGTACTGTATTTCCATATACATCTCTGCATTAGAGTCTGAATAAAACTATACATAACAGTTGCTTGTTTTTATTGTCATTTCCATTTTTAGTGAATTCCTTTCTAATCGTCCTTTAAAATGTAGTTAACTCTATCAGTTCAAAAAAGTAATATAATAATCAGACAGTGTTAATATTGTATAAAGTATGGTATGAACACAACATAAAATTAATGGGCTTTTGATGCACCGCTGGGGCATTAGACATGTGGTGCTAGACTCATACCGCTTGACCAAATGCCGCCTTTACTTTCCAAGACATTTCATTGTGCTCGGTTTAGGCTTGGTAGACCTGGAAGCCAAGGTAAATAATAAAAAGAATTTGTATGAATTCTCAATAACAATATTCTGGGGGGGGGGGGGGAAAAAGAAGCCTCTAGCCAATTCTCTACCGTGGCTTCTCGTGGAAAGTTTAACCTACCTTTGTCTTTTACATTTAGCTTTAACATCCTTAAATGTTTTTTTCCCCTTAACAAAAGATCAAATTACAACTTCGTTGGTTTTTTTCATTCGGATTATTATCCTGTTTGAGATTCTCATGCAAATCCACTGGAAAATAAAGTGTTAAAATAGAGGAAGGCGTGAAGTCTAATAATGGTCGGTTCGTTTAACTACCGATTCGATGTTCTAGATTGAGCCATCTGAAATGGCAGGTCTAACCTAGTCTAAAAAAGAATGAATTAGTGAATCAAGAATTGACATCACTGTACACGGGACATTCCCACACACGCTTGGTCCCGATCTTCAGTAGGCAACGAAGAGTCGACATGTAAATAGTACCCCTTGCAACCTGACTAAAAGTCTGTTTCCACCTTAGTGCTCTGATACCTTTCTCATGCATCTCTCATTCATGGGACTCCAAACCCAAACCTTTAGGGTACAATGCACTTACTAAGCCCCTCTCAATTATGAAGACCGCTCAAATCTTAGACTGTGCTGAGTTAGGGGCACACAAATAATACAGTTTGCAGTCACCTAGACATCCATAAAACGAATTCACACGTAGCTTTCCTCTATAACTGAAGAACTAATCGAAAGACACTTCTGAAGTTCAGAGCCGTATCGCCACAAACCTTGACTGAATTGTGTTCTTCCTGATAAACGTTCATCTGCATGCTCTGTGATTTACAAAAACGTCAAATCTTTAGAGGGTAGTCCTACACTCATTTGCAGACATTATTTTTGCTTCTGACAGCGCTTTGCTAATGCATTATCTACATATGGGCTGTAGTCTACAGCTTCGCTGTCTGTGCTACTGAGTTTAATGCTTGGTTTAGATGTGTTTTTGCTCATGTGGAATGCCTTTAATTTGTGCAGCGGCTGAGTCAGGGTATTCAAAATGGCCAATAATCGGTTTAAGTGTGGGCTGGTGAAATACCATATGTAAAATTTCTGCGTGTGCTTAGCTTACATGTGCCTGACGACTACTTCCGTCAACGACAGACTGCATTTCCGGTTTCTTCTGTTGGCTTTGACGCCCTCAGTATTTTCTACGTCCGCATATTTCTAATTGTTTGTTCACAATTTTTGTTTTCAAATGGGACAGGGAAGGTAATGACGTATTTATTGTACTGGCACACAGAAACGAAGCAAGTATGGGGTGACCCTATTGCAGTGAAGATGAGACCTCGACTAAGACTAATTCTACAATATGTCCAGTCAGCTATGATAAGTGCATGCTGTCCTGACGTTAGGCTGGCATTCCAAGCAGTCAAAACCTATTTGTCATAAGGTTTCTCCTATCTTATGATAAGTTTAGACCTATGGTTTGTCAACGGGACTCTTCGTCCTTGACAATCTATCTCCATTGTATCACTTTACCAAGCCTTTTCTGCCTAAAGTTCTGCCCTTAAACGACGTGTTGCCATCATGGTTTATCCCTTTTCCTCCTTAGTTCAAAGATCCTGGTAAAAATATGTTTATCTAGTCCTAATGTGAGGAATATTTTTACCCTTCGTGATCCTGTGAGGTGACTGTATCACTGACTCTTTCTTGAAAACGTGTTCCCATTTTGCCTTCTTTGATACATCCAGTCTTTAGCTTTATATATATGTCCGGGTGGGTTTTTCTCTAACAGAGTTTCTCTCAGAATCAAGGCACTAAAGCATGTCAATGGGTGAAGATAAATAATAAAACTTCAGATTTTATGCAGAGGGTAAGGTTGCATTACTTCGCATTAAAGGTTCCCCGAGCAGCTGATTTTGATGTCTCTTGTCACATCTTTCACGCAAAGATTAATCAAAGAATTAAGTGTTTGGTTTTCCATTTGCTTGAGGCTTGTTCTCTTTGATGGTTCTATATCTAAAGTTTTCACTGTAGCTCTGCGGTGAAGGGTATAGATAGATACTTGTTTTCTCCCTGCTCAGAAGAAATACTTTCCTTTTCAGTAACGACAAACCGTTCTTTCTGTTCATTATCAAGCTGCACTTTGTTTTGCTCTGGGGTACTAATAGAATTAAGGTATTGCAGCAAAGTTGATCTGGTCCTTTAGAAGATATCTTATTTCTGTTCATTTCTTTCTAAAACGAAATAAAGGGATCTGTTTTTCCGCTTTCCTTCTCAGATGTAGACTTTGGCATAAAAGTGTACATTCTGAGACTTAGCCTCCACATTTTATGCTGGAGTGTCAGCCTGGGTTGTTGATTTGTCCTATTTCTACCCCATTTACCTCCACGCTAACATTTATTGCTTGCTCTTATCTGGTCTTTTCCGCGCTTCAACGGCTGCTTTCGCTCAGAGCATCTTTTCTCTGACATCTTTTCTCTCCGATGATACTTCATCTCCTCCTTTTCTATGATAAGCTTTAGCGTATTGTCATCTTTTTACTTTCCCGTAATGTAATTGGTAACCATTGAGTTCCCTTTCTTAAATTCTAGACAATTACTTCTGACCCTCCTCCTGCATAGCCCCTTTCTGCAATATAAATCATTGAATTGTCTAAGATCAGACTGACGATCCATAATTTTCGATGACTCATTTACCAGGCAAGTTAACCCATGATTACATTCAGGACTAACCAGAATGTGTGTCATGAGTTGATGGATGGCCGAAATATTAACAGGGAAAATCGCCCACTGCAGTAAAAAAAAAAACGTTAATAAGACTAAAGCAGTCAAAATCACGTCACGTGACTGTGTGTATGTGTGCCTGCATGTCTACGTGTGCGTGTGACCGTGAGTGTGTCTATGGGATTGTGTGTGAATATGTCTCTGTGTGGGCGTGTCTGTGTCTACGTGTATGTGTGTGTTTGTGCCTGCGTGTGTGAATGTGTGTGTTTGTTTGTGTGTACGTGCGCCTTATTGTATTTGTGTGTGTGTGTCTGTGTTTGTGTCAGTGTATGTGTCTGTGTGTATGTGTGAGCTTCTGCGTGTCTTCTGTGTGTTTGTCTGCAGGTGTGTCTGTGTGTTTGTCTGTGGTGTATATGTCTATGTCTGTGTCTGTGTGTATATGTCTGTGTTTGCTAGTCTGTGTGTTTGTCTACGTGTGCATGTCTGCCTATGTGTCTGCGTGTGCATCTCTGTGTATGTGTCTATGTGTGTTTTCTGTGTGTCTGCGTATATTTGTATGTGTGTGTCTGTCTATGTGTTTCGATGTATGTATGTCTGCGTGTATGACTGTGTGTATGTGTCTGCATGAGTATCTGTGTGTATGTGTCTGCATGAGTATCTGTGTGTATGTGTCTGCATGTTTCTGTGCGAGCGCTTGCGTGTCTGTTAGTTCTACGTGTATGCGGCGGTGTGCGTGCCTGTGTATGTTTGTTTGTGTGTATGTGTGTATGTGTGTCTTTGTTGTGTTGTGTGTGTGTTTTTATGTGCATGTGTGTACATGTGAGTGTGTGTCCTCGATAATTTGTGTGTCTGCGTGTGTGTGTCTGCGTCTCTGTGTGTTTGTGCATGTATGTGTGTGTCCGTGTGTGAGTGTCTGCGTTTGTGTGTCTGCGTTTGTGTGTCTGTGTGTCTGCGGGTTTGTGTGTCTGCATGTGTGTGTAAATCTGCGTGTTTGTTTGTGTCTGTGCGCGTATATGTGTTTGTTTGTGTTTCTGTGGGTGTGTCTGTGTGTGCATATGTGTATATATCTGTATGTATGTATGTATGTATGTATCATAACTTATTTCTTAACATAGCAAAAACAAAGATAATGCATACAAACAAAACTGCCATGGAGAAGGAAATATATGTTAATGAGGAAAGATTGGAAGTGGTGGAAAATTTCGAATATCTTGGGTCACTGGTTACCAACAATGGTGACACAATGAAAGAAATTAAACGGCGACTATCAATTGCTCTTCAAAGACTAAAACAACTGAATAAATTATGGAATTGTACAGATAGAATTACAAAGGTCAGATTTTTAAGAGCATGCATCTTTCCCATTGCAACATACGCCTGTGAGACCTGGACACTTACTAAACAAGCTGAACAGCGCATAAATGCATTTGAATATAAATGTTACAGACAGGTTCTAAGAATATCTTGGGTAAAGAAAAGAACAAATGCATCCATACTTCAAGAGCTGAATATTGAAGAGGGTTGGCTAGTAAAGACAATAAAACAAAGAAAATTGAAATATTTTGGTCACTTGAAACGTCATGGAAGTCTAGAGAGAACAATAATGGAGGAGTATATGCCTGGGAAGAGAGGAAGAGGAAGGCCAAGGAGAAGATGGGTGCAGGATGTGGCAGATGATCTCCAGATGGGTGTATCAGACGCAGGACATCTTGCTCAGGATAGGAAGGTTTTCCGGAGGGTTGTTATGGCAGCGAGGTTCCGCGAGGGACATGATACTGAATGTATGTATGTATGTATGTATGTATGTATGTATGTATGTATGTATGTATGTATGTATGTATGTATGTATGTATGTATGTATGTATGTATGTATGTATGTATGTATGTATGTATGTATGTATGTATGTATGTATGTATG